TAACCACCACCATCACCAAATCCCCACTCATTCCCCTCCCCCACCACGACCAAACCACCCACCAACCGATCACATAACCAACCCTACGCACGCACGCACCACAACAACACAACCACAACCAACTAACCAATTCACCAACCAATACCATCATCACTACGCACGCATGCGCCATCAACACCACCATCACATAAAAATATTATACGTATAAATTTTGGGCTTTATGTTAGGGTTAGAGTTAGGGTTTGTATGTAACAGTGTTTATCGGTGTGTGTGTGATATCATTTAGTCACATGGCATATCCATAACTAAGTAAGAATTATATATTTAATTCATTTAATTAAAAAAGTAAAGTATATATATTGCCTGATCTGCCATAAATTGTCTCCTATATGCCTCCTGAGCCTCTTGAGACTGAGTCGACATGAATTATACTTACAGCTAGATCCTGGTTCTTCGCTTTCTTCTGTTCATCGGCGTAATTCGGGCTCCAGGAAGTCAGAATACGATATGCAAAATGTCCTAGATCTCCCCTTCCCTATTTTATTCAAATATATAATTAAACCATAACATATAAATTATACTCAAATCGACAACTTAAAAGCTAATATATTATATACCTCAAGCTCCAAATGATGATAATGCTGGTTGAAGGACCTGGAGCCCCCGTGATGCTCGTAACTGTGGGGCACATTGCGGTTCCTCCTTGCTATTTCAGCTTAAGCCTACAAAACAATGTCAAATCAAAACAATATATAAATTCAAACAATAAATTAAAAATTTGTACTTCAATAATACCTGAATTTCAGCCGTGTCCCAATAATCTTCTGTTATTCGACCAATTAAAATAATAAAATAGGAAACAACCAAATTTGAAAACCAATTTGATAAAGCTTAAGCATAATCAAATTCAATCGACCCGACATTGATTTAATTTTATAATACTAGGTTAAAAATGATTTAATACTACCCCAATCAACTAAAAAGCTATTTAGCCAAAATGTTTAAGCATTTTCTGATAGAATTGAATTAACCACAAATAACAAGAGAACGAGCGTACCACTAAGATCTGGAACAACACTAGTGACAGCAAGGACATGATGTACAGAGGGTCTAGCTTCTGCAAACTTGATGGAAAACTTTCTACCTGTTTCAAAGAAAATAATTATAATTTAATTATAATTTTTCACACTATATAACAATAAAATATGAGATATCGCGTCTCCAAAAGAGAATCCTCAAGTGGTGAATTAAGCTACAGGGAATTTTAAAGTTCAAAGTGTATGATAGGAGCTACTTGGCATAATCATCTCTTTTTTCTTTTCTTTTTTTTTTTAAATTTTATACCACATACAGCTCTCTTCGTTTAGAAAATTAAACTTCCTGATCAACTTCCACAAAATTATAGTTATAACTTACGAGATATTCATATTGTTCTTTACAATTACAAACCAGAGACCATAGACACAATTTCTACAAATTATACTTTATTACATTTCCCCCTATTCTATTCTCTCTATCCCGGATCAAGTAGTTGGAATTGATCAAAGCTGAACATCATAACATTGAATTGTAATTTGCCATTTCCTACAATTTTTGTCCATGTATGGGTGCTTTGGTGTAGGGGGCTTAGCAATATTCAACAAATTACAAACAATTTTTGTCCCTGTATGGGTGTTTTGGTGTAGGGGGCTTAGCAATATTCAACAAATTACAAGAGGGTATCCGCACAAATTTTTTGATAAGAAGGACAAAGCTCAAATGTATGACAAATAAGAAACAACATTATACAAGTGAATAAAAATTCAGCTACCGAGATCACCAATTTATAGTTATATTTGAGTGGATCCATCATATTCTGATTAATTTTCAAGCAATACCCTGAAATTTACAGGATTACCTCTCATGCCTCTCCGGGATAATTTTTTACAATGTTAGTCAATTAACGAAATATCAGTACACGTTATTTAGCTCGCTCTACGCCAACTTAAGGACGTGCTGAAACTGTACATTGTTCCCCCAACACAAATGCTAAACACAGATTCATGAATTTATAAGGAAAAAAACAAAAAATCAAACTACCATCTTGTATGTTTTCAACATTCACTTACAATTATTGTTATTTAAGTGTACTAGTGATCAATCTCATGGTCAAATTTCCCAAACCCAAAAAAAAAAGTTCACAATTTAATAACCAAGAATAAACACCAAACAAACTAATCAGATATTACTAACCTTGACGGAAACTTGCAATCTGCATGACCTGCAACAAATCAGCCACCCATAATCAAATTATAAATAAATAGGGACTTAAACGGAAAAATATCAAAATTTTTACCTGTAAACTAGGGGTGGAATCGAATCGAATTTGAACGAATAGTACAATGTTCAAATTCGAATTCGGTTCATATTGGGCTATTCGTGTTCGTATTCGTATTCGGCTCGAATAGTTATACAAATTCGAATTCGATTCGTTTACATATATTGATGTTCGAAAAATATTCACGAATATTCGTTTAACCTTATTCGGTAATTTTGATTTTGAATTATTCGTCAAATATTTGATATGTATTTGCTAATAATTCGAAAATCATAAAAAATAAACATAATCAGTAAACAAAATGTAATTTTTACATTCTACCAATCAAACTGTAATAAATCAGTGTAATATATTTTTTATACTCTAAACTCACAAACACAGTAATATCTTCTACAATAGAAAACATAGCACATAATTAGAAAAACATTCCTATAAAATAAAGCAAGAAAAATATAATTTCATAAGCTCTTAGCATGTCTAAAATCCTTAACACAACTACAACAATATAGCAATTATCAAGTTACCAACTTACCCAGTAGGTCAGTATTACATTAACACTTACATAGGGAACAAAGAGGTGCTTAAAAGTGTAATTTGCAACACATCAAGGTCTTAACTCAAACATAAACAAGTTTTTATAACTTTCCAAAAGCTCATTGAATAATAAAGTTTCTCTAAGCCTCCAGATTCGCACAGTTTGCTATTTTGGCCCTCATACAATGCTCTTTGTCGATCAAATCCTGAAAATTGAAACCAAACTCAATGAGAACACAAGATAATATCATATGAAGATTTTAAAAGCCTTAAAAAGTTAAATCCAAACACAAAAGAAGCACATAGCAAAAGAATGTACAGCAGCTCCTTGTGTTTTTCTTTTTTAGCATGTAATCTATTGTTTTGAACGGAGTTGTACTCTGCAAGTTAGCATATTATCTATGGTAGATACACGTAACTTCAACTTCTTTTTCCATGTAAATGACAATGAAATCATCCCAACAGTTTGGCAAAAATCATGCCCATGTCTAATTACAAGCATCAGGTTGTCACAAGATTAGAAATTAAGTATGCTGTCTAACATGTGCTGTCTAACATGTGATAATAATAGAATCAACACAATATAGTCAGTTAAATAAGTGTTAATCAACTATATAAAACTACAATATTTAGCTATAGCCCAAGAAAGTAAGCTTTCTGTCTGTTACAGTAAAACACATCACATTCATAGTCATATTAATAATTTATGTTACCATGTGTTAAAGCTTATCGAATCATACCACACAAGAATGTTAATTGCTAGGATAATCATACCTGCAATCAAACAAATTATTAAAGAATGTTAATTGCATAGAGAATGTTAATTACAAGACTGCAATCATACCTGCAATCATAATTGCATGGAGAAAGAATGTTAATTGCATGGAGAAAGAATGATAATCATACCTGCAATCATACCTGCAATTAGAATGTTAACGGCAGTCATATTAAACACGACCATGTATTTAAAGAATGATAATCATACCTGCAATCAACTTTCTGGTAAGGTAATCTCCACTTCTCTTACTTCATCTTCAACCTGTAATCATACAAATTAACTAAATATCAATAAATTTTATGAACTCAAATTGTTTGCATTGAATTTAAATAAATCATTACCTTCTTTTTATTTATACCATGGACTTTTCGCATCCAATCCCCTCCACATATCAATGCTTCAACTGTTTTTGGATCTAAAGATGCTCGATACGTATCAATTACCCTCCCGCCAGCACTAAACGTAGACTCTGATGCCACCGTAGAAATAGGAACAGCAAGAATATCGGTCGTCATTCTCGACAAGACACGATACTTCAATTGATTCGTTTTCCACCAATTCAAAGCACTAAAATGGTAATTTTTTGCTTCACCACATATATATACATGCTCATCCAAGTATGTTTCTAACTCTGATTTGGATGCAGGCATACTATCTTTCGTTCTCACCTTTTTCAAGATATCACTCCAGTTGGAACTTAAAGATGACAATGACGAGCTTGTATCACTCGAAGCACCCATAGAACCTTCCAGAGAGCTATTTTCCTCATTATTTGAATCATGTAAAGCAACATACTCATCAAATAGCTCTTGCAAGGCATCCCTAACTTTATGTATATTTATCCTAGCTTCTACTTCAGAGTAAATTTGAGGATAACAAATTTCAACCGCACCAATTTTTAGTCTAGGATCCATAACAGAAGCTATTGCCATTAACAAATTGCATTCTCCCCAATATTTTTCAAATTTATCTTGCATTTTTTTAGCCATTTGCCGAATAGAGAAATCATTATCTAGTAGTGACTTATCGATAACTTCTTTAATCCTATAGACTTCAATGAGATATAAATTAGAAGTAGGATAGTCACTACCAGAGATTAGATTCGTTACCGTATGAAAGACGGCTAATAACTTGCAAATTTTCTCCACTTTATCCCATTCCTCAGGTTTTGGCATGCAATCATAATTGGACTCCCTTTCTTTGTACAATGGAAATGCATCTTTGAACTTTAGGGCAGTGATCAACATCAAGTATGTCGAATTCCAACGAGTTGGCACATCAAGAACCAACTTCTTTTCTCTTAACTGCAACTGTTAAACAAAAAATATATACATAAGTATATTATTAGACTTTCACATAAAAAATATACACTTTAAAGATGACAGTAGATTTGATATACATGTTGCACAATAGCAGAAAATGTTTTGAGCCTCGCTTCACTGTGATTGATGAACTTGATGCTTTCCCGCACATTCTCAATAGTTAATGCAATTACACTTATCCCGTCTTGGACAAGAAGATTGAGAATATGTGCACAACATCTCACTTGAAATAATTTTCCATCACAAACCAATTTCTTATGTCTAGATAGGCTAGTCTTCAAAGTTCTTAAACAAACATCATTATAGGATGCATTGTCCACAGATATAGTAAAAACTTTATTTTCTATTCCCCAATCTTTGAAGCACTTATGCATGGCATCTGCAATGTCAATACCACGCCGAGGAGGAGGCACATGCACAAAACTAAGAACTGATTTTTGTAGGTTCCAATCCTTATCAACAAAATGCCCAGTAATTACCATGTATTCAATTTTTTGATTTTCTGACTTCCAGAGATCAGTGGTTAAACTAACCCTGTCCATGTTTTTAAGGAGTCCCTTCATCTTATTTTTTTCACTTCCAAAAATTGTCATGCAATCTTCCTTCAAAGTTTTACGCCCAATTTTAATAAATTCAAGATTCACAGTTTTCATTAGAAATAGAAAACCCTCCTTCTCTGCTACAGTAAATGGATGCTCATGCATCATGACCCAATGAGCTAATGCTTCCCTAACTTTCAGATGGTTATATTTTCCTCCAGGTGGTAACATGATTGGGCGCTCTGTAGTAGAACCATCTCGTTGAAAGTAAAGTGTTCGTTGCCTTTGATCATGTAACTTTTTTGTAATGCAATTATTTAAATGAGTTTTCAAGTGAGATGTTGTTCCAGTTGAATTTTGTGCAAAGTTGTGCTTGCAATGATTGCATCTCCATCTTTTAACATTATTAGCACGAGTAACTTCAACAAAATTATCCCATACCTCAGAAGTCTTTTTCCTTCTTCTCTTCTCCTGAATAGGATTTGTAGTCTCCACATTTTCTCTACTTGCATTATCTGTATTATCACTGGAGGGAGTAGCTGGAGAAGGAGAAGAAGCATTTGCAGGAGCAGAAGATGATAATGATGGAGAAGAAGTATTTGCAGGAGCAGAAGATGATAATGATGGAGCGTGAGAATCACTTGCAGGATTCACGTTAGGAGATGACATTCTGTAGAAACAAATTTTGAAAATCAACAATCAGAATGTATGATGAATAATTTGGGGAAAAATTTAGGGAAAAAAGTTTTTACCTGACGGGGAGGAACAAATTTTGTAGAAACAAAATTCTGTAGAAACAAATTTTGAAAATCAACAATCAGAATATATGATGACATTCTGTACATAAAAATTTGGGGAAAAAAGTTTTACCTGACGGGGAGGAACAAATTTTGTAGAAACAAAATTCTGTAGAAACAAATTTTGAAAATCAACAATCAGAATATATGATGACATTCTGTACATAAATCATCTCTATCATGCATTAACCACCTGCTGGAAATAATTTGGGGAAAAAGTTTTTACAAAAAAATTAACAGAAAATATAAGATGACCCTGACGGGGAGGAGGGCGTCGTCGGCTCGTCGCGGGGAGGANGCGCGAGATGAGAGGAGTGTATGCGGAGATCTATGGGGCGAGAGTTCGGCGGTCAGTCTTTCAGATCTAGGGCACTTGGACGTGTTAAAGCTATTTATCTTACTCATGAGTTGCCAAATGCAAATCTGAACCATTCATTCATAATCCAAAGGACATGTGAAACCCTAGGTTCCTTAACTTGTTTATTTATATATGGGTAGAAGTTGTAATAAAAAGTTTTGATGGGTAATATTTATAACAAGTTTAATTAATAGGTTTAACATATAAAAAATTATCGAATAGTTAATAATCAGTCGAATTGAATATACCTTTAGTTAAATTCTATTCGTTTATAAGCCGAATATTAAAAAATATTCATTTAGTGTTAAATGAACTGTCGGATCGAATATGACCGAATATCTGGACGAATATTAACCGAACTGTTTATTAAATATTTGGTTCACTTCCACCCCTACTGTAAACGAGATTAGGGATGAAATGCAGGCGCGAGCCTCGTCATTAATCGAGTGAGTCACTGCTCCACACCTGCGTCACATGCGGCATCCAGCCTAAAGATCCGAGGCGCGCTAATCCTCGGCTGTTCCCGCGCCACGAAACGCATGGTCCACCTCGTAATGCAGCGGTGCGCTCGCCGATCCGCTTCGTCTTGCATCGCTCATGCCTGTAGCTCCTTTGCTTGCGGTGCCCCAGACTGCTCTCGGTGGCGGCGCCAACGCGCAAGGGCCGTTGGTCGACGACGTCGGGTGGGCCGATGAGAGAAGAAGAGAGAGAGAGATGTAGGGGGCGAAGTAGAGAAAGATAGATGGAGGGGATGGGAGGTACCTTGAGAGAGAGAGAGAGAGAGAGAGAGAGAGAGAAGAGAGAGAGAGAGAAGAGAGAGAGAGAAGAGAGAGCGATTGGCGGTGGGTTCAGGGGGATAGCCAGCGATGGCGGTGGTGCCAGCAGGTGGCGAGCGATGACCTAGTAGGCGGCGGCCGGCGGTTGAAGAAATGCCGACAAGAGAAAAAGGGGATGAGAGGGAGCTAGGGGGAGGGGAAATGAGGAGAGAGAGGGAAATGAGAGAGGGATTTGGGGAAAAATCCCTCTCTCGGGCGCGGGTTGCCCAAAATTTTTGGGCACGCCTGCGTCCAAATTTTTTTCCAACTTTTGGGTTTTAGCGACGGAAATTTTTGGGCACGCCTGCGCCTAAAATTTCTGTCAGGAAATTAATGGCGACGGAAATTTTCCATCGCTAATAGTGAAATTGTCGTCGGCAAAACTTTTTTGCCGACAAAAAAATAGCGACGGAAAATTTCGTCGCTATAACATGACTTATAGCGACAGAATTTTCCATCGTTAAAGTACTATCGGCAATAGTCCATTTTCTAGCAGTGATTGCTGGAGTTTTATAACCCTGATAGTAACACTTTTTTGACTTGCGGTGGAGAGTTGGGGTTAGCTCTCCATGAGATGCACAAGGTTTCTGGTCTTCTAATGGGAGATTGTCCATATCAAGAGTATTTTCCCTCTAACTTGCAGTTAGGACAACTACATAGGGATTCCTCCGACATGCATGACACGCTCTGGGACCTTACATGTCATTATCATACATCCCTGGTCAGCATGAGTCCTTTGTCGAAGAAGAAGAAGCGGGTCAGCTTGAAGCAGTTTGCTGATTACTTATTTTAGCATTTGGAGAGCAGTTCGGGCGAGACTATTTGTGGGTTGGCCCCTTTGACACCTTCTGCCATTAATGGCTTAATTGAGAAAACCGGCACTTGTTCATTTACCACTGCTAGTGTTGAGGGTTCCTCTCACTAAATTTACCACTACTAGTGTTGAGGGTTCCTTTACCACTGTGGTCGCTAGCTTGTTCATTTACCACTGCTAGTGTTGAGGGTTCCTTTCCAGCAGGGACTAAATTTCAATCGTTCCTTTGCCATGCACGGAAGTCTATTCAACCTAAGACCCTCCTGGTGGGCTATCTCGCCCTCTGGTTGAAGAAATGCGTCATTCCATATCAGTTCTCCGATGCCTTGCCTATTGAGATCCTCCTCCCTGCCGTTTAGTTAGCTCACGGGAAGGATCTTTCTCTGCTTCCGGCGATGGTTGCCGGCATTCATTATGGGCTTAGGTATTTGGTCGATGGTTTTACATAGGTGGGTTCTGAACCATCGACCGAGATTCTCTCCGTAAAGGCTGAGCTTCCGTATACGTACTTGATGGCATGGCTCGTCCATCACCGTCCTGACTGATGTCGGCGCCTAGTACTACTGATGCCTCTGTCCCTTTTCTATAGTTGTTAGAGGGGAGCAAATGGTATGCGAAGAACTTCACTGATGTACAGTGAGAGCTTCAGGTTCGTTGGAGCTGGGAGTTCTTCTGGTGTTTTCCTCGCTTCTCGGGCCGCTATGACAACGTATTGATTGATGAGGAGAAACCAGGGGCCGGGCGGACCTCTCTTGATATTGGTTGCTTCCGTTGGTTGGTGAACATTCGCACTGGATACCTCATTCTTCGGGTGAAGGGTCGTTGCCACATATAGCCCTATCTCCCTCGCTGTTTCGCTCGTCAGTTCGGTTATGACCAACCATATGTTGGGAACCCGAACCGAGGCTTGAGGACTGAAGGAGGTCTTATTGACGGCGCCCGAGCATGGCTCTGGACCATGACGGGTTGTACCGGTGCCTATTTCACTCTCCCTTCATCCAAACGCAAGCCATCGCTTACTTTTCTCAGCTGCAAATGGCTCCTTTCTACGAACGAGCTTCTAGATGTGAAGAGCCTCTCGGAGTTGGAGGCTGAACACTTGGTCCAGATTACCATTAAAGCTGCTCATAAGGCTGGGCTTTTGAAGAAGCAGGGGAAGAAACCTGTCAAACCCTCTCGTTCGAGCAAAAGCCATATGGAGGATGATGAGGAGCTCCTTCCTATTGATGATGAGGATGAGACTTCTGAAGAAGAATTTAGGGATATGGACACCGATGTTGGAGTTAACGAGGAAGAATCTGAGACATGTCTGTCAGAATCTTTCTTTTCAGAATTAATGGGTCTCGTATTTCTTTGTTGGTCTCAACGCTCTAGATCTCGACCGGCTCCTCCAGAGCCAGAACGAAAGGTTTTATTTACTTATCCTAATAAGATGACTCTTGTCACTCCAGGTAGGATGATTGATGAGCATGAACCTCTCATTTTCCGTTACTCGAGATCACGATCTAGTACCGAGGCTCCTGCACAAGTTGAGATGTGTACTAAATCTACGCATGAGCGACCCACTAGTCTTGTAGAGGTTTGTCCCCCAAAGTGGAAGAAGACCGCTCATAAGTCACATATTAGTCAGCATGCCCGTGAAGCAGAGTTACGGGAGGCTGTAACTGCTGGTGGAGAGGAAGGTAATGTTCCATTATTTTTATGACCTTGAAATGGTGCTCTTCCGGATTCCCTGAACCTAATCATGTCCCATGTTTCAGGAAGACATGGCGGAGGTGGACTTCCGCGTGACTCTGTATTCTCTAATCCTGGCCATTTAGATAGCCGGAGCTTTGTGCAGCAAATGTACGATGTCATTCATGATGAGCCTACATATGTTGGAGTGAACCGGGATGTTAACCAGGATAATACCATTGAGCTGAGTATTTTATGCCCAAGTATATTTAACACCGGTAATACACCATTCGAGTGGCAGTTAAAGGAGTTAGGCCATTCAGAATTCATTCCCCCTTTAATCATTTCCTCGCTTCATTCTCTTTTAGACAAATTGAAGAATGCGGGCACGAATATCAGGGTGGATGAGCCTCCTGCCACTACCACAAGTGAGTCTGCACTTCTCTATTATGAACTTTTAGCTTCTTTTTATATATCCAACACTTAAACTCTCGTGTAGATATTACGCTGGAGAGACCGATTGAGGATGAGACTTTTCATGGTATGGATCTTAGGGGATTTATTGAATACATGTATGTCTCAGCACCGAGATTCTCGGGATCTGACACTAGGTTGCTCGTTGAGATGTTGGCAGAGCAGGCTACCAGAGAGGCTGCAGGACGATCCGTTGAGGGTGGTTTATCTGCAAGTATGCATCTAATCTCCGGCGCTGTAATTCTCTTTATTTGTCAAAATCTATATTTGACTGATAGGGAATTCTAATCGTAGGACCAGCCACTAGGACTGATACGGCTATGATTCCTGGCATACCTAGTTTGCATAAGGGTGGTTTATCCGTAGGTATGCACGTAATCCTCTACATCATCATTCTCTTCATTTGTCGAAATCTCTATTTGACTGACAAAGAGTTGTAATCGCAGGACCAGCCGCTAAGACTAATACTATTACGATTCCTGATATCTCCAGTCCGCCTGAGGGTGGTTTATCCACAGGTACATGTGTAATCCTCTGTATCATCATTCTCTTCATTTGTCAAAATCTCTATTTGACTGACAAAAATTTGTAATTGCAGGACCAGCCGCAAAGACTAATACTACTACGATTCCTGGTATCTCCAGTTCGCCTGAGGGTGGTTTATCCGTAGGTACGCGTGTAATCCTCTGTATCATCATTCTCTTTATTTGTCAAAATCTCTATTTGACTGACAAAGAGTTGTAATCGCAGGACCAACCGCAAAGACTAATACTACTACGATTCATGGTATTTCCAGTCTGCACAAGGGTTCTGTCTCTTCTCCACTGGAGGGAAATATGGCCATGAGTCAGTCGTTCGATTCCCATCTTCAGGCTGTTGTTCCCCCAAACCCTCTAGGCATTGCAGAATCTTCTAGAGGAGTCGATATACCATCGACAGTCATGCATGCTATCATTCCCGAGCCTGCCGAGACTAGATTGGTGGAGCCTGGTATAGGACATCAAACTGGAGTAACCTCTGTCGGCACTGGTAAGCTCATAATTCGCTCTGAATTTCCCCACAATATTCTAGGGTTTCTTACCTCTTCATATGATCATTTGTAGGGTTTTCACTGTCTCCATATGAGTGCATTATGGCTTTATTATCTAATACCAATCCGGGCACATACATGTTCCGGATAGATCTTAAGAGTTTCCTTACCTTCTTGGGTAAGATGGTCAAGAGGATCGTTCATTATGGATTCTGTTTTGATCAGTACAGACGATCACTTGACCACCATATGATGATGATTAGAGAAGAGGGGTACCCTGATCTAGCTGATTCCCTTGTTATGGATCTTGCCATACTGGAGTGTGAATCCTAAGAGTTAGGGGAATGGAAGACTAGAGGTGTTTCCTCTTTTGTTGCTACTCAGTTGGAATCGGAGTTGAAGCAGTGGCATGACTCCAGAGTATCTATTGGACATGATCTTCAGTCATAGGAGATCTCTGTTATGCAGATGAGGGCTAATCTCTTGAGGAAGGACAAGGCTAAGGTTGATTTAGTTAGCCCTCTAGCTTCGGCCGATGAGGAGATAGCTGAACTTAAGAAGGCCTTGAAGTATGCCGAAGAATCTCGTGCTATTCTTGAGGACGACTTAGCCAATGCTGAAGACTCTCGAAGACAGACATTAGAGAAGCTGGAGCCTGCAGAAGAGAAGTTTGCTAAGTTGAGGAGCGCAGCCGCGAAGATACTGGATACATCTGAGGATTTCATTCGAGTTGAGTTGCAGGCTAAACTCGAGCGGAGTTTTACTGAAGATCTTTCTATGCTGGAACACCGGATTCTCAGTCGCGGATTGTAGTCGGAGCGATAGTTCCTTCATTTTGACTTTATTAATAAAATAAAATCTTTTACTTAGCTCACTCTTCTCTTTATTATGATTATTATCCAATCTATGATGAATAACCATAATATTTATAGGATTTTTGGCAAACCCTCAGCCATTAACGGATTTGGCTTGCCTTTACCGATTACCGTTTGAATCGGGCTAGCATGCAGATTGTTCAAATCCATTCTGCATGTGACGTTGTGCTAAAAGAATGAATTCTTTTAGACTTTGCACTATGATTTTTGAATACATAGACTTACTCATCCCTTGCGGGGTCCTCATAGGATTTTTGGCAAACTCTCAGCCATCAACGGGTTTGATGTACTTTTACCGATCACCGTTTGAATCGGGCTAGCATGTGAATTATTAAAACCCGTTTCACATGTGACGTTATGCTAAAAAAATTAACTCTTTTAGTACTACGATATTGAATACGTAGACTTCGTCTTTCTTACGGAAATAGGCTACCCGGTAACGCGTGTTAGGCGTTGACTTATCCCTACTTAGGCTTCGGGATAAAAGTCCCCAGACTTTGATTATGGTGTCTTTTTCAATCGGTGAAAGACTAAACCGGCCACGTGTGTTAGACGTAGGCTTATCTCTAATTAGGGATCAAGATAAAATCCCCCGTGTATGAAGTGCACGAATTTGAAGTCAGGAATTGTGTCTTTTCTTAGGGTAAAAGACAAACCTGATGCTGGAGAGAAAAAAAATTATATTCGATCCCCATGTCTTGTTTATGGTAAAGACGAATCCAAAAATAGGAGAGGAAGAATTTTATATTCTATCTCCCAAAACTAAAGAGAAAGAATTTTATATTCTATCTCCAGTTGTAAAGGAAACTCGAGGTGGGATCTCTACCCCCAGAATCCGAAAAGATAAAATTAGGAGTGGGATCTCCACTCCGAGAATCAGAAAGATTCAAGCAACCCTAATTTTTATAGGATTGATTGCTTAACCCAAAAAAAGAATCCCTCATTTATTAAGGTGAGGTTTCGATTTCGACCCTAACTTTTATAAGTTTGGCTGAAATCAAAAAGGTGGAAGTCTCTCATTTATCGAAAGTGGGAATCTGATCTCGGTCCTAACTATCTGTAGGTTTGACCAAGTAGAGTTGGAGGCAATCCTAACTTTTATAGGTTTGATTGCTCAAATTGAAAGTGGACCTCTTGTTCATGAAGGAATCGAGAGGGGATTTTGGCTTTGGCCCTAACTTTTATAGGTTTGACCAAGAAAGAAGTGGGAGTGTAATACCGATAGTAGTGAAAACCGCCGATTTATACTAGCCACTCGATGAAAGATTTTGATGTTAAGTGATCACGGCTTAACATGTCAAGTTTGAAAAACATTGAAGATTGGTGGATAGAAGTTTTAGTGGACCCACCGTCAATTGATTTGATCAATGAGGGATTTTGTTGAGAAGATTGATCTGTCAAAATGGTCGAATCTCATCTCAGCAAAAAAATTCACGAGAGTCAGTGAATTCAATGTCAATAACAAGATATGTTCCAACTTTGAAAACATTCAGAGTCTAAGTATGGATCTCTTATTTATCATTTTTTGTAGTAACTGGGTTATCCCTAAGAATACTACACGTAGTATTCTTCCGGGAACTTCCCAATACATGGGTTATCTTGAATGTACTAAGGGTAGTATTTTTTCAAGAAATTCTCATTTATCGATATTATGTGTCGGGCGCCTTCCTTGGTGATAAGGCGATATGCGCTGTTCGAATAGACTATCTCTACCACAAATGGTCCTTCCTATTTAGGTTCAAACTTACATT